ATGGGATGACCATCAAGGACAGCAGTAGCTGTGAAATGGAACCTGCCTGAGACTAGGAGACAAGCCCTTTGGAGCCTCCAAGACCATGATTTTCAGAAGTCTGACCTGAACTTTGCACTGTTGGACTTTGGTTTGCTTTGATCTGGTTGTGACTGTGCCCTGGTTCTTTCCTCTTGGAATAAGAAAATATGTAACTTATTTTTCATTTTGCAGGAGTCTACAGTTAAGAAATTTTAAAGAGATTTTGGAGTTTTAAGACTTCGGCGTTTCAGAGAGATTTTGGATAGTTTAGAGAGACTATGGACATTTTAGAGACTTTGGATATTTTAAATCTTAAATATGTAGGCACCAAACTATGGTGCACCCAATCTTATAAAAATTATACCACCATTTAAATATACAGATTAACATCAATCCATTAATAGGTGATTTCAGTACTCCACTTTCTCTGATAGGTCACCTGAACAAAAATTAAACATGAGAGTTCATTGATACCACACATCAAATGGACTTAACAGATATCTACAGAATATTCCACCAAAACACCAAAGAATACACATTCTACTCAAGAAAGGAATTTATCATTCTAAGTGCCTACATTTAAAAAAAAAATCAGAAATAGCTGGGTGGTGGTGGCGCACATCTTTAATCTCAGCAGTCAGGAGGCAGAGGCAGTCAGATCTCTGTGAGTTTGAGGCCAGCCTGGGCTACAGAGTGAGTTCCGGGAAAGGCTCCCAAGCTGCACAGAGAAACCCTGTCTCAAAGAACAAAAAACAAAACAAATAAAACAAACAAAAATAGCACAAATAAATAGCTTAAAGTGGCAACTCAAAAATCTGAACAAACAAGAACAAACCAAATCTAAACCCAGTTGATGGCAAGAAATAATAATGAGAGCAGAAATTAATGAAATATAAACAAAGAAAAAAAAGAGTCAGTGATTCTGAAAATTGATCCTTTGAGAAGATAAGATCAACAGTCCCTTGGCCTAACTAACCAAAATATATAGAGTACCCAAATTAACAGAACCAGAAATGAACAGATAAACATTACAACAGACACCAAAAAAGTTCAGAATTTCTTAACATAATACTTTAAAAACCGCTAATCCATTCAAGTTGGAAAACATCGAAGAAGTGGATGAATTTCTAGACTCAGCCAAATCACCAAAATTAAACCAAGAATTAATCAACAACATTGAAACAGTAATAAAAAGTCTACCAGATAAAAAAATAAAGTCCATGGTCAGACGAATTCCCAGCAAAATTCTACCAGACATTCAGGGAAGGTCTACAGCCAATCTTCTAAAAGTATTAGAAAAGAAAGAAACAGAAGGAACATTCTCCAAATTCCTTCTATAAAGCCGTTTGAAAATGCTAGAGAGGAGACAGAGCCCAGACCGACCCTCTGACCCTGAGAAAGGTCCCAGTGGTATCCCCAAGAGAGACCTGGACATGGGTGGTAGGTTAGTCATTATTCCTGGACATGTTGGTGAGAATATGGAAGCTCTGCCTTCACCTGTAAAAGGTGAATTTAATTTTTCTGCTGAAATTGAGAGCGCCATCTGCTGACTTAGACATCTGAACTGCAGAACCTCTGTCCTTAAGGTTCTGGGATTGGCTCTAGTGTTCCAACATGGGTGACACCTCTGACAGGCAGTCCTTGCTCAAGAGCTTCCCCTCTGCCAAAGCTCAGCTTCCTCCTTTACCCAATTCTGCTCGTTTCTTATAACACCTTCCTCTCATGATGTTACAACAAACCTAGGCCACAAACTCTTGGCTTAGCAAATGCTTCCCAAAAACTAGTCCTGGGGAGGTGGCTCAGGAGATGGTCCATCAGTAAAGTGCTTGTTGTGTAAGCACAGCTGGGTGTGATGCTGCACATCTGGAACCAGTGCGGAGAGGGGCTGCAAAGATAGATGGGTACCAGAGGCTCACTGACCAGGGACCACCTTGAACAAGGATTGCCTATCAGGTGTCCCATGTTGGATTGAAATGCTTGGACCTTTAAACCTTCAAAAATGTGGGCTGTCCTGGGAAAGGCATGACCTGTGGTAGTGCAGTCCATGAAAGACAAGTTAATGACGGTGTTCACTGCTGTAGCTGGCAGCAAGTCCTTCCTTGAGCAGGGAATTTAGTTAGCATGTCTTCCTGTCTTTCTTAAGAATGAGAAAACATTGCCTAGCTGTCATCTACTAGACTTGTCTCACATCTTAGCATTGGATTTCATGCTACAACAAAGATTAGTAATTCTCCTTTATAGCCATTGTCATCTTTTCTAGGAAAGAGAATCCCGGGTTTGGGGATATCTGCTATCATATCTTGGATAAGTGGCTAAATTTCTCTGCCCTCCTCTACGTGTAGATATATGCTTGTTACTTTTGGCTAATGGATGTATGCAGAATTTTCATTTTAGACTTAGGAGAGGAGGGTGTGCCCTTTGTTTTCTTCTTTGTGCTGGGTAGAGTAGGAGACTGAGGAATCATCTTAAATTTTTAGGTAGAAGCCAAGTGTTGGGGATGACAGAAGAAGGTTACAGAACATCAGGTCACTGATAATTATGAGATTGCTTACCTGTTTTGGGGTGTGCATTTTTGGATTTCATATCTTAGTTCAGCCATTACTTTTTAGATGTTTTTTGCTAGGTGTATTAAAACTTAACCTTTAAGTGAGTGTGTATTTCTAGTTAATTATTGGCAAGGAGCCAGATGATGGTGGCAGCTCATGCCTTTGATTCCCAGCATTTGGGGGGCAGAGGCAGGCAAATCTCTTGAGTTTGAGGCCAGCCTGGTCTACAGAGCTAGTTCCAGGAGAGCCAGAATAACACAGAGAAATCCTGTCTTGAAAAGCCACCCCCCACCCCCCAAATTCATTGGCAAAGAACATAAGGAAACGAGGTTGTTTAGACTAACATATTTGGGGTGTAGTAGATGTTGACAGGGTACATAGATACCTGTATCATACGAGTGCAGTAGAAGAGAAAGGAAAAAAAGTTGAGGGAATTGGGAGATCAGGTTTTTATCATGGTCTACCATGAGATCTTAACTAGTGGGCTAGAAATGTGTGGCTGTTGATTAGTGAAGAAGTGGTGGTTCAGTAGATTGATTGGTAGTCTATGTAGGAGGAAGACTTACCTCTGGAGAGGAGGGACTAGACGGGGGGATAGAGACAGTGTTCAGGCAGGAAACTTAGAATTTAAATTTTGTTGGTACTCCTCGTAGTAACAATCGTAGGGACCAGAGGAATGGGGGGTTAAAGCAGGGCCAAGGAAAAGATGGCCAATCATGAGGTTAAGAAATGGAGAGGCTGTTAGGCAGGGTGCCACAGACCTGTAATCTCAGCATTAGTGGGCTAGAAGCTAGATTTCAAGGCTACTCTCTGCCACTTAGCAAGTTTGAGGCCAACCTGGACCACACAATACCTTTTCTCAAAAACAAATTCCCCAAACAAGAGAGACTGGATCTCGGATAGATCTCTTAGATGTTGGGGTAAGTAAATGAAAGACTGTGGATGGTCTGCTAACATTGTGTGTCTGAAGAAGGGTAGCTGCAATGTTGGCAGCTGACTTCCAAAGTAAGGGGGCACATCAAATGAGAGTGTGCATTTGAGAGAGCCTAACAGCTGGCGCAAGAGGAGCAGGAAGTGAGGAAAGAAGTGGCACATTTATTGCATACTATTTTCTGTGTAGCCAAAGATACTTGACCCAAAGCAGAAAAAAGCAAACAATATATATTTTATAGGAAACTGACACATGGGAAGGTATTTATTCTATAAAAGAGCTGTTAAACCTTAACCTGGGGGAAGAAAGCTAGCAAATTGGGCTTTGGATACAGTAGAATTTCATTTTATTTTGTTTTATGTATATGGATGTTTTGCTTGCCTGTATATGTTTGTACCATGTATGTGTCTGGTGCCTGTGGAAGTCAGAAGAGGATGTCAGATTCTTCTGGAACAGGAGTTACAGATTGTGAGCTGCCCTGTGGGTGTTAAGAATGGAACCAGGTCCTCTAGAAGAGCAATCAGTATTCTTTCTTTTTTTTTTTTTTTTTTTTTTTTTCGAGACAGGGTTTCTCTGTGTAGCTTTGCGCCTTTCCTGGAACTCGCTTTGGAGACCAGGCTGGCCTCGAACTCACAGAGATCCGCCTGGCTCTGCCTCCCGAGTGCTGGGATTAAAGGCGTGCGCCACCACCGCCCGGCAGCAATCAGTATTCTTAACCACTGCTCTAGTCTCTTTGTGTAGAATTTTCATTAATTTACAAAGGAGAAAATGTAAGTGATAAAAACATGAGAAGATACCCAGGCATTAGAATTAGTGGAGTCAGAACATGAATGAGATACTAGATATGCCTGACACGAGCAAATTCTAAAAGGATGAAAATCCAGGAACTCTATCAGGTTGGTGCATACTGCTATGGCAGGGTGGTAGGTGGCCAGTTATGTCAGAAGCAGTGGGTCTCGAGGGGTCTTCTGTGTTGTTGTTTTGCCTGTTCCGTAACCTTGGACCTCTGCTTATGTAGTTGTAGCTTTTCAACCAAGAGTCTAAAAACTTAACAAAGTATTTATGACTTTTAAATTATTTATTTGGTTTTGAGACATAGTCTCAACCTATATGTAGTGTAGGCTGGCCTGGAACTGTCTAGGTAGTTCAGGCTAGTGGTCCTCTTGCCATAGCTTTCTAAGTTTCCAGATTGCAGGATTGAGCCACTGACCACTCTTGGATTTTGTGGCCATTTTTATGGTATGAAGTATAACTTCCCTTTCATAAATAGTATGATTTAGGTATTCAATTAGTGTTTACTTCTATTACTTTGAATGTTTATATCCTTTTATATGTGTGGCAGATACTTATTTCATCCAGTTTGAATGCAACTGTCCAGTCATTTTCTCCTAGTTGTAGTATACATATTGTATCAATCTACTTAATTTATTTTGTATTTATAACCAAGAAAGATAATACTGTATGAAATTTTGACTGACATTTTTTCTTTATTTAAATTACAGACTAACTGGATCTTCTGGATTTGTAACAGATGGACCTGGGAATTATAAATATAAAACAAAGTGCACATGGCTCATTGAAGGACAGTAAGTAATAATGGCTGACTTTAGTTTATTTATTATAAGAGCTCATTGTAGCATAAAGTACTGAATCATGTGTTACTGTTGTTCCTTGAGACAAGGCCTCAGGTTACTGTGTAACTCAGGCTGACCTTGAATTTTGATATTGCTGCCTCAGTCTCCAAGTGCTGGGTTTGTAGGACCCCCATACATTGCTTCTAAAATATCTTTCCTTAATAGCTTTCCATTTGGCAAGTGGCTTTGCTTTTTAAAATTTACATTTTAGGGGCAAAGTAGATGGCTCAGGGGGTAAAGTGCTTGTGAGCAAATCTGGTGATAGGAGTTTAATCCCTGGATCTCACAGTGGAAGGCTGACTGCTGGAAGTTGTCCTCTGACCTCCACACTTGTATATGTACATGCACATACACACAAGTAATAAAATAAAAAATTAAAAGAAAACTTCTTTTTTTTGGGTGCCAGGGATTGAACCTAAGACCTCACTAAGCAAGTGCTTTACTATTAAATGATCCCTTAATTTATATATTTTTTTAGAGTTCCAAGTTGACTTAATGTTACAAATGAATTATATATACCAGAAGTTTACATATTTTAATTCTAATAGCTTAAAATCAGTTTGAATCTTTTTAATGTTTGTTTAAATCTTTATACAGTAATGTCAATGTGTCATTTTTTTCTGAGTATTGCTTTTTATTATGGGCAAATGGTAAATCCGCCATCAGATAACTGCTGTTGCTGATCCCCTGGCCATCTTGTCCTTGCAGCTGTCTGTATCCTCTCCTCTCTCCCGCTTTGTACCTGTCATTTAAGGCAGCATTGCCAAAGCGTTTTGTAGTCTCTGAACAAAACTTCGAAGATTCCAAGTAACTTGTTTATTTGTTGTGTCTCTGAACTTCTTACCATTTTAGATACTCAAACCAAGAAATACTGTTTCTTAATTCATTTAAAAGCAACAGTTATAACGTACTACATATTAGCAGACATGCCTTGTTTGGTTTTCAGTGAGACGGGCTCACACTGGTAAGCACTGCCTGACATGGCTGTCACTGTGTAGACCAGGCTGGCCTTGCACTGGCGATGTCCTCTGACTCTGAGTGCTGGGATTATAGGCAGGTGCCACCACACCCTGTTTCTTACGTGGTACTGGCGTCAAACCCAGAACTGTATGCATTCCAGGAAAGCATTCTGCCAACTGAGCTGCATCCTGGTCCTAAATATCATTTTTATTGAGAAAAAAATTCCTTATATTTAAAGAAATTTTAAAAATAGCATTGTTTAAGATTTCACAACTTTCTTTGATAATCTGGCCACAAGAGATCTTTTTTTGTTGTTATTTTATTATTTATTTATTTATTTATTTATTTATTTATTTACCTTTCTAGAGCTTTATTGAGAGAGAGAGGGAGGGAGAAAGAGACAGAGAGGGGGGGGGATCGCGCGGGGGTGGGGGGTGGTGGGGATGGGGGGGTGGTACGGAAGGAGTGTGGAAAAGAGGACACAGAGAGTGTGGAAAAGAGCGTTATTTTATTTTTAAATAAGCAATATAAGCAACCTTAAATATGAGACAGTTCCAGATGAGAGGGGAGAATTAAATATTGGAGAGAAAAATTGATAGGTTTATCTATTTTGGAAAATTTCAGGGATTTTTGGCTAGACGCTGAGCATAGTAAAATACAAAGGTGGGCTGGAGGGTTTGAGGTAATCATTGAAAGTTAGCAGTTGTGGAGAGTGGGAGTGTGGAAAGGAGGGAGAGCATTGCTAATAGAGTTGCTGAAACTATCAGAGTGTCATGTGAAGTGATGAGGGGACCAGGACTGGAACCGGTCTGCCCATTACTGTGACTTTCTGCAGGACATCTTAGTTTTCTTTAGATTCAGTCTAAGTCAGAGTCGACAAATAGTTTCCTTAAGATAGGGCTTTTTGGTACAGTGCCATGAAAAGGCAGAGACACAGGTAAATTTAGAAAATATGTGTTATAAAATGATGTATTATAAATAGATCTCCAACAGATGCAGGAATGCTATTTATATTTGCATATGTTTATATAGTATATTTTCTCCTTAAATTCTTTAAAAGTCTGTCTTTAGTATTTAATGCTATGATTATTATAAATTACTTAATTATTTTTCTAGGCCAAATAGAATAATGAGACTTCGTTTCAATCATTTTGCTACAGAATGTAGCTGGGACCATTTATATGTTTATGATGGGGATTCAATTTACGCACCTCTGATTGCTGCCTTTAGGTAAGCTCAGCCATTATCTGATGTTTGAATTTAAATGTGTCTCCAGGATTGACTCCATACTTTTATGATTCCGTAACATTTATCTCGTGGAGTAAATATTAGTTCTGTCCCTCGCATGCTCTCTTCACTTGGTTTTTATGTACTGGGTCGTTTTCTGTGTGTGCTACAATGTAGCCGAGGTTAGCTTTGAACTTCCAGGCCTTCTCTCTCCACCTCCCAAGTGCTGCGAGCACAGGCTTGCACCATCATGCCAGACTCATTCGGTGGTAGATGGCTGGAGCAGTAGCTAAGGGCTCACGTCTTGAACTGCAAGTAAGAGGCAGAGAGGGCAGGAGGCTTTGAAACCTCACGCTAACCCCAGTGACACTCCTCCAGCAAGGCCACACCTCCTAATCCTTCCCAAATAGCCACCAAGTAGAGGCCAAGTATGCAAATGCCTGAGACTTATTATGGGTGACATCTCATTCAAACCACCACAGGGACCCATTCTGAATATGGGCTGGGTTTTCATAGACTGAGGGCCGGGATGAATTAAAGGGGAAATGGGAGAAAATAAGTAGATCTGCCCACGTGCTTGCTGACTGCTGTGAGTTGAGGAACTTCCCTGCTATACCCTCCCTGTGATGATGGGCTGAAATTTCTGAAACCAAAATAAATTGTTTTCTCTTAAGTTTGGTTGTTGTTTATTTTTTGAGGCAGGATCTCATGTAGCCTAGGCTGGACCTAAACTCAATGAAGCCAGTGATTACCTTGAATCTACCTCCCAAGTGCTAGGATTATAGGCATGTGCTTCCAAGTCTGTGGGTCCTTAAGTTGTTTGTATTGGGTGTTTTATCATAGTGATAAGTCTGACTAATGTACTAGCAAATTTACACAGTACAGTTGTGAAGTCAGGTTGTGCCTCAGATGTGTTCAGAAATTCCATGTTAGCTTGGGACAGTTACGCTGAGTTTCAGGTTTATGAAGAAAATACTTTTAGTTCTGTGATTTTTTCAAAAATGGTTCTAGGGCCAGAGAGATGGCTCACTTGAAAAAGCATGAAGACTCATGAACCCGGTAGTACCTGCCTGTATCCTCAGTACTTGGAGGAGATAGATGAACAGGTAGAATCCTGAAGTTCATTGGCTGGCTAGTCTACCTGAGTTGATGAACTTCAGATTTGAGACACCCTGTCTCAAAAAAAACCAAAAAAAACAATGGAGCTGGGGAGATGGCTCCGTGGTTAAGAGCACTGACTGCCCTTCCAGAGGCTCTACAATTGAGTCCCAGCACTTACATGATGGTTCACAACCACCTGTAACTCCAGTTCCGGGGATCCAGTGTCCTCTTCTGGCCTCTGCAGGCATTAAGCACACACATTCATGCAGGCCAAGCACCACTACACAGAAAATAATAATAAAAAAGTAAGGTGGATAGCGATAGAAGACAGACACTCAACATCTGCCACTGACCTCTACACGTATGTCCACATAAGTGCATGGGTATCTGCACTAACAAGTATATACAGCACACTAAAAAAAAAAAGGTTCTAAACATTGGTGTTCTTAAATGTCCACCCTGTGACCTGTAGACCTTATGTAACTGGGACACAACACAGAATCATAAACTTACTTAAAACATTGTGAGATTTGTGTGTGTGTGTGTGTGTGTGTGTGTGTGTGTGTGTGCGCGCGCGCGCGCGCATGCAGATTGCATGTTTCTGAATATGAACTTTATAGATGATGACATTGTATCACAGTGTTCCAAGGTTGGCCATACCTGCTGGTCTGTACCCAGAATATGAAGTTGTAAGCAGCCTAGGGCAGGCAGTTGAGAAACTGGCTGTAGCTTAGACTGCATCTGCACGTACTGATCCTCCTTAGGAACAGGGATAGGGTCATGGGAGGTGACTCATGGTAGCTTCTCTTCCTCACCCACATGTTGTACATACTGAGCTAGACTATGTTTGTGTTTATTTGCTTTCATTCTGGGAGACATCTACACATGCCAAAGCTGTCACAGTTTGAAGTTTTAAAGTGAGTAAAAGCAAGTGGCCAAATGTCTTTGACAGTGGAGAAGCTGACCTGTTTTCTCTAGCCTCATGTAGTTGTAGTTGGCAAAGTTATCCACCCTACATGTTGAAATGCCTTCACTATAGGAAGACCATCAACACCTTCTAGCAGCATAGTGCTTTAAGCCCTACTCAGGCTCTGCCACTTTAGACCTTGATGAGCTGCTGTGAGCTAGACTGGATTTCTCTCTTTGCCCATTTGAAGAAAGTGAGACTCTGAGATGTCAGCAACATTCCCAGATGTATGAAAGGACTGAATCTCAGGTCTATTTGTTTCCTCAAATCTGTGGTAGACTAAGAGAGCACAGTATTTCCCACACATGATTGAAATCCCCAATCCTTTCCTATGCCTGTTAAGTAAGATTGCATGTGACATACCTGTGTCTGGATGGCCTTACTCTTCTCCCTTTGTGTGTGCGTGTGCGTGTGCGTGTGCGTGTGCGTGTGCGTGTGCGTGTGCGTGTGCGTGTGTGTGTGTGTGTGTGTGTGTGTGTGTTTAGGATAATGTTCAGGATAGCCTCTTAACCTAGCCTCTACTTTTATGTGTGTTCCAGGAATCAAAAGCAGTTCATCAGGCTTTATAAGACAACTGCTTTATCCACTGAGTCATCCCACCAACCTTATAAATACACAGCCCTTCATTATTTCAAGGGAGTCTGCTGCAAATGGAGTGTCACAATCTAAAAATCTGAAACTCCCCATATCCATAACTTTTTGAGTGTTTACATGATGCCACAAATGGAAGATGTCACATCATGAGACCTTATTTCTTAAGCAAAATTATTAAAGATATTACATAAATTACTTTTAGGCTGTGTGTATGAGGCATATGAAATGTAAAATTTTCTGTTTAGACTTAGAAATATCCTGAAGATATTTTATTCTGTGTATATACTATACACATATTCCCAAACATGAAAACTCTGAAATTTGAAACATGTCTGGTCTAACACTTCTGAATAAAGAATACTCACCTTCTGTTCATGAAGCCAGTGAAAGCACAAGGAAAGGCTGTGTCGGTTTGCTTCCTGTTGCTGTAATAAAACACCATGGCCAAGCCGACTTATAGAAGAGTTTATTTCCAGAGGAAAAGTCCTTTCTGGCAGGGAGGCATGGAAGCAAGCAGCAAGCAGGGCCACTGGAGCGGAGAGCTGAGAGCTCACCACCGTATCATAAGCACAGAGCAGAGTGCTCCCTGGAATATGGGACGCGTTTTACTCTAAAAGCATGCCCCACGTGACGGGCCTCACTTCCAAACCAGGGACCAAGTGTTCACATGCCTGACACTGGGTGACATTTCTTATTTAAACCACCAAAATGGCGACTACTGTCATCTAAATGTCTGATCAAAAGTCACCTCACCTCTTTCCAGCCCCCTTTCTCTTTCTAAAGCGGCACTGTCTGTTCATTTCCTCTGCTGTGCCTTTGTTGAGTTACCTCTGAGTAGTATTGTGAATACATGCACCCTTGTGTGGTACTCTGTAATAGGCTTGTTTCTCTGAATTCCATGAGGACAAAGACATTGTCTTGTTCACTTGTTGAATTCCTGGTACATAGAACAATGCCTCAAGTGTGTTAAGTATTTAGTATTTTTTAAAAGATTGTTTTTATTTTAATCTACAAATGTTTTGTCTGCATGTATGCATGTAAGTGCACCATATTCTTGCCTGGTGCCTGCAGAGGTCAAGAAGAGGGCAAATTCCCTAGAACTGGAGTTACAGGCAGTAGATGCTGGGAACTGAACCCAGGTGCTCTGCAAGCGCTCCTAACCACTGAGCCTTCTCTCCAGCCCAAGCACTTAGTGTTTATTAATTGATACGCAGTAGAAAATGTGTCTGTGTTCTGTAATCCCTTGTGTACTGTCAGATCTTAGTGTTCCTATGTTTTATCTTCAGATAAATTTTAACGAGGACTGGAGAGGTGACTCGGTTGTTATAGTGCTTATCACACAAACCTGAAGATCTGGGTTTAAATCTCCAGTGCTCACATAAAAGCCAGGTGTGGTTTGTGAGCCTGCTGATTGCAGTGTTGAGGAGGCAGAGACAAGAACATTCCTTGGGCTTGCTGGCCAGCCAGTCTAGCCAATCAGTGAGCTCAGTTCGATCTACTTCAAAAAATGAGGTGGGCCATGTCGTTGCACATGCATGTAATTCCAGCACTCAAGAGGCAGGGCAGGTGGCTCTCTTGAGAATTCAGGCCAGCTAGTACTACATAGTGAAACTCTGTCTCCAAAAGAAAAGGTAGGGAGTGATTGAAGACACCTGACAGCGACTTTTGGCCTCTACATGCATACTCACCTATGTACCCCCCCCCATACAGATAACATGCATACACACATGTGTTCACATACACATTAAATGAAAAGGCCATCCTCTTCTCATTTTCATTCCCTGTTCATGTGCTCTTCTGGTCACTTTGTGCATTCGCCCAAGTTCTCATAGATAGACAGGTACACTAGGCCAGTTTGCCGTGTGCTTCCCTGCCCTACCTGTTTGTGAGTCTGCAGCCCTACAGATTTGTATTGACTCATTTAATCAACTCCTAGGAATGAGCAATTAGGTGACTTTTAACCTGTTGTCATCTGAATAGTGCTGTAGTAAGATTCGTTGTTTTTCTGTGTATATAAGGAAGTATTTCTTTCACAAAGAGAATTACTAGGTCAGTCAATGAGCTTTTAAGATGGTTATAGCCCTGAAGTAGGAATTTACCTGGTGTAACCTTCAGAAAAGTGAGGGGACTAGGGATTGAGTGTGTGAAAGGGAGAGAGTAATAGGGGATAAGTTGTTTATTCATTGGGTAGAGTTGTATGTGTGGGGCAAATTACATGGCCTTTGGTATTGACTGAATGTGGTTGGTGGCAGTGGTTGTAGTGAATTGATACTGGGGCAAAAAAGGTAGGAGCAATTAAACATGAAAATTGATTAACCTTGGGAGTACATCATTTATTAAACTAGCAAGACCAATATCTTCCTTGCTCTTGGTAATGTGAGGTGGGGATGGACACTTTCATTCTGTATTGAGATTTCAAGTTATCATACACATATACATATTTCCATGGAACTCACTATGTAGATCATGCTAGTCTCAAACTCACAGAGATCTCTGTGTCTGCCTCCTGTGTACTGGGATTGAAGGTGTGTGCCACCATTCCCAGCCTTCAAGTTAGCATATATCTTTTGGAAAACAAGTTGGTATAGTATTATGGGCCAAATATCTTAAAAATGGTAGTCACTTATTCAGTAATTCTTTACTTCACGTGAATTTACTGCTACCCAATACTTTGAATATTATTTACTGGGCTCTTATTGAGATTCTAGGGAGAGCTTTTGGAGCCTTCAGAGACAGAAATGCTTGTTGTTTATTATTTATAAAGTGGAACATAAAATATATGTTACCAAATGAGCAAAGAAAATGCATCTGAAAGTTAATAGTATAAGGATTATAGATTCAGTTCACTTTTCTATTTGTATTTTATATAAAACATTTATTTATAAAATATACTTATTAAGACATAACATGATACATATTGCTAAATAAATAAAATATATAAAATATTTTCTCTTTCAACAGTACATATTTGGCAATTATCAATTCATAATTTGTTATTTATGTGATTGTAGAGACTTGAGAGTATCATAAAAAGTTTTATTTCAACAACAACAAAAAACCAAAGTCATTGGTTTCAAATCATTTTAGGAGCTGGGCATGGTAGTGCACACCTGTAATCCCAGCACTCGAGGTAGATAGAGGCAGGTGGGTCTGTGAGTTTGAGGCCAGCTAGAGGTACATTTGACTCTGGAGCAGCAGGAGCAGCAAGATCAGACAGACAGCAACAGCAGAATAAAGAAGTGTAGCAGACTCAGGGCTGGTCCTCAGCAGATCCACAGCTGACTAGACTGACTGAAAACTGTAGAGAAAATTCTGTTGAAATTGCTGTAATTTGGTCTGTGTTTGCATTTCAGTGGCCTCATCGTTCCTGAAAGAGATGGCAATGAGACAGCCCCGGAGGTCACTGTCACTTCAGGTTATGCACTGCTGCATTTTTTCAGCGATGCTGCTTATAATCTGACTGGATTTAATATCACTTACAAGTAAGAGTTATAGATTTAATACTTACAATAGTATTCAAAGGCTTTTAATCATGCTAGTACATAGGCGGGCTTACAGCAAGTCAGGCACCTTGCTAAATATTAATACAGACTTTCTTATTTAAAATTCTTTTAAGTATTCAGTGAGAGGTAGGCAGTGTTTTTTTTCTCGTTGTATAATTGAGGAAAGAGGAGCTAAAAGATTAAACAAATGTCAGCCCCAGTGGTTGGGACCATAGTTTCTAGATCTTGTCTCTGAGCAATCTCCTGGAAGAGAGGGGCATTCTTCCTACTGCTGGAAGAAAATGTCAGGGGTTTTGCTACGTGAATTTAACAAAGACTAGTAGTGTCTCAGTAATAATAAGTAGTAGGAGAAATCTATTTTTAAACTGTTATGACAGAGCACTAATGCAGTTCTTTAAAAAGTCTGAATTGTGTCATCTCAGTGTATCAATACTTTTATCTTAAGTCATGTTATGAGACCAGTTAAACTCATCATGAAGTTAACTGCTCTTCTCCATCTGAAATGAGTTGATTAAAGTTACTAAAGATCTTTAACTATATCACTGGATACCAATCTTAAATTCTATGAATTCTCAGAGACTTTACAGAGAACGCTGTACCCTGAATATATTGGCAATTTATTGGATCCCTTTCCTTCTGCCATTTCCCAGCATGAACTTGGCACTTTTGTAGAACTCATTACTATGAGCTACCAGGAAGAGTAGGATCCTGGTTCACAGCCTAGAGCCAAGTCTGAGTGATTATGCACAAATCTTTCTTGTTTTGTAATTTCTCTAACTTTCTGAGTTATTTATTCTTACCTCCTTCATATGCGAATCCAGCAGGGTTGATTTGATTTCATTACTTGAACCTTGGGCTCTCACTGCACAGAGCTCAGTGAGCACAACACAGAGCTCAGTGAGCACACACGGGCTAAATGGTAAGTCCTGTAGTTATACTTGTGAATGAACTGAAGACAGTCAGACCCTTAAACTGTGTAGGAGGAGGTTCTGAGTACAATTGAAGTGTTCCTCTTATTGACTTAGTTTTCTCCTATCTTTGTAGTTTTGACATGTGTCCGAATAATTGCTCAGGCCGAGGAGAGTGTAAGAGCAGTAACAGCAGCAATACTGTTGAGTGTCAATGTTCTGAAAACTGGAAGGGGGAATCGTGTGACATTCCTCATTGTACAGACAACTGTGGCTTTCCTCACCGAGGCATCTGTAATGCAAGTGACGTCAGAGGGTGCTCCTGCTCCCCCAACTGGCAGGGTAGGAGCTGCCTTTTCACTGTCCTTCCAGTAACAGAAAGTTCTAGTTTAGTGAACTGTAAGGGAGCCTATTTTAGCAGCTGTATATTTAATGTTAATCATGTATCAGATGGCACATAAGCATTCATCTCCCTTTATCCAGATTCTTTAAATTTTACACTCATGTGGTTGTTGTTGATATCCTTAGAATTATGAAAAGGTTTGACATGTCCTTTGCAACTCATTCATGAAAATTAGGGAGCATGGTCTCATGTTAGAGGGGCAGAGAACCAGGCTGAGAGATAGGCAAGAGCTAGTCTCTTTCATCAGTTCAGCTCCTGAATTTACCAGAAGATAGATTTGGCTCTGTCCTTTTATTTTAACCATAAAGTCTTCTCCAATTGAATTGATAACCCCTTTGTCTGCCCTTTCCCCTAAGAGCTGCTTAAGCAAGATTTGTACTAAAAGTTTTAACCTGAATATTGCCAAGTCATCAGAAAGTGTGTGATATTAAATTTTATTAGGGAGTAATTGTTTTTGGTCAGCATCTTGAGTAAATTGAAAACACCTGCCGGGTAGTGGCGGTACATGCCTTTAATCCCAGCAGTTGGGGGGCAGAGGCAGGCAGATCTCTGTGAGTTCGAGGCCAGCCTGGGCTACAGAGTGAGTTCCAGGACAACTAGTACAGTTACACAGAGAAACCCTGTCTTGAAAAAAACAGAAACAACCAAACAAACAAAAAACCACCAGTTAGGTGCTGAAGAGATGACTTATTGGTTAAGAGCACTGGCTGCTCTTCAGAGGACCCAGGTTTGATTCCCAGCACCCGCATAATAGCTCACAACATCTGTAACTCTAGTTCCCAGGGATCCAGTGCCTTTTTCTTGCCTCAGTGGACACCTGTCAGGCAAGTGGTACATAGACATACATGCAAGTAAAACACCTATGCATGTAAAAATTTTAAAGCCCCACAAGTTAAAGATGTGTGATACTTAAAAACTATTCTTTAATTTTACTCTTTGCATTTAGATTAGAACTTAGAATACTATAAACTTTCAGGCTGCCTTTTGTGTTGTTGTTGTTCCTTTTGTTTGTTTGTTTAATTAGGTCCTGGATGTTCAGTTCCTGTGCCAGCTAACCAGTCTTTCTGGATTCGAGAAGACTATTCTGATTTAAAGCTCCCCAGAGCCTCTCATAAAGCTGTGGTCAATGGGAATATAATGTGGGTTGTTGGCGGATATATGTTCAACCACTCGGATTACAGCATGGTTTTAGCGTAAGTGACTTTATAATTTACACTTTTTATTTATTATTACTGTGTGTATATATGATGGGGGTGGTGGTGAAAGTGGTGTGTCATGGTGTGCACGTGGCGACCAAAAGACAACTTGGTGGAGCTGATTTTCTCCTTCATCTTTACATGAGTTTGGGGGCTTTAGGGCAGGTTGCCAGACTTGTAACGCTTCACCCTCTGAGCCATCTCACCAGCTCTGTGAATGCTTTAAGCACTTTTGCAAGAAGCTTAGGTTTCCACTCTGAAAACTATGCCATAAAAATAATAAAAAAAAAGACAAGAAATTATAAGTAATTACTAAGGAAAATCTCTGTTTAAACTCCACTAGTAGTCTTCTAAACTTTTATATTATATGTAAAATCTTAAAAAGGAAAACATTAAAAAACATTTACAATTGGAGCTGGCTTATAGTTTCAGAGGTCTAGACCGCTATCATCATGGCAGGAAGTGTGACTACATGCAGGCAGACATGGTGTTGGAGAGGTAGCTGAGAATTCTACATCTGGATCCACAGGCAGTAGGAAGAGAATGCAACACCAGGAATGGCTTGAGCATCCCAGACCTCCAAGCCCACCCCCAGTCTCACATTTCCTCCAACAAGGCCACACCTACTCCAACAAGGCCACACTTCCCAGTAGTGCCACTCCTGAGCCTGTGAGACCATTTTCATTCAAACCACCACAGTTGATGTTTTAAAATTGAGAGCTCTGAAGAATTCATGTCATAATAAGAGTAATTTATCTTTTAAAGATACTTTCTCTGTTTTTTTGCTTTAGGTATATAGTGGGTTATATAAATAGAGGTTACTTAATATTTTAATATTAATAACTTTCATATGTCAGATGATTTCAGTTTACAGTTTATGAGTATAAACTACCTTTGTGTAATAATTTCCAGGGTTTGAAGTCTGTTTGTGCTTATTTGAAGGTAGAATATACATTATCATATTAGAGTTAGCTATGGAGAATAGACTTCAAGAAGAGATTTATAAATACTGCCCCATGCAGATTTTATAGCCTGGAAATTTTTCTATGTATTTTCTATTAGTGCCCACCGGGCTGTGGTGGTGCGTGCTTTAATCCCAGCACTCAGGAGGCAGAGGCAGGCGAATCTCTGTGAGTTCGAGGCCAGTCTGGGCTACAGAGCGAGAATCCAGGACAGGCACCAAAACTACACATAGAAACCCTGTCTCGAAACCCCCCCTCAAAAAAAAAAAAACCCTCAAAGCCCACTCCCGGTGACACAACTCCTCCAATGAGGCCACACCTCCTAATCCTTCCTAAAACATTTCAGTCAATTAAGGACCAAGTGTTCAAATTCATGAACCTGTTGGGGCCATTTTCAATCAAACCACCACATACAGTTTTGAACCACCCCAGATATAGTCATTAAAACACACAAAGTAATTTAGGACAGTGAAATCAAACCTTATAAAATTGATGAAAACTTTAACATTCCAAAACAAGTTAAATGATAAGAAAGTGACGTGTGGCATGACACACATCACTAGACAAACTCAGAAATGAAATGATCAAAGTTAACACCTCTAAAAATAATTTCAGAATTGAAGACAAATGTGGAGGGAGACACATCTATAAACACAATAGATACTGCTTTGGAAAAGGAATATGAAAATAGGAATCTTTTAAATCACACAGAGCGAATTTAAATATCCCTTTTTACATGTGTGTATTAGTTTGGTGGGTGTGTGTGTGAGAACCCATGTTCCATAGCACTTGTGTGGGGTCAGAACATGACTTGAGGTGCCGTTCTCGGCCTCCGCCCTGGAGCTCAGACTCTCAGGGCCACGCCGAGGTCGTCAGACTTGGCAGCAAAGTGCTTTTTTTACCCTCTGAGCCATCTTTCTGGCCTTAGACATTTTTTAAAATGATAACTATAGTTACAAATCTTGAACACTGTATGTAAAACCAACAAGAGAAACTAAACAGTAGCAAAAAAAGAAAATAATAATAATGGCTATGTGCTCCTGAGCACAATGAACAACATGGCAGTGAGTCCTAAGGCTTTTCTTTTTACCTGTGTACCTTACGCTTACTGTGGAGGACATTGGCAGTTTGGAAATAATGATAGCTACCGGGGGAAAAGCCCTGAGGAAACCACGTGGGATGTAGCCCAGTGGGAGGGCTCTTGCCTTGTACATACAAGGCCTGCGGATATATAGCTAGCATCTCAAAAGAATAAAAAATTTAAAGCAAGGTCTTCCAGAAAAGCTTGTGCTGTCTCTTTAGTCCAAAGATTTAGAAAGACAAAATTTTAATAGTAATGTCTCTGTGCCAGCCAGATACCACAAAAATCTAGCCCTGGCCTCACTTGTGCCAGTAAAGTCTCCGTGGAGAGCCTGGATGTCCATTTGTTCCAGGATATAGTGATACCCCAGCTATTAGGGTTAGTACCAGAGACACCAAAGAGGGAGACAAGACTTTCAGCTCCACCACGGAGAAATAAAGCTTCCACCATACAATGCCAGAAGAGACCGTGTGGGGAACTTGGACTTCTACCCTCCACTGACCTTCTCCATCCCAGTGGAGTGGTGTGAGAGAAGGCCTGCCATAACGGAAGGTAGAGAGTCTCACCGCATGGTCTACAATCCATATACAGTCTCAGCCAATACAATCTCAATTTGAGTGAGAAAAAAGCAGTTAAAGAGACAGTGACATTGGGGTGACTCACATTAGAATTATCTGACAAGGACTTTAAAAGCAGCCATCTTAAAAATGATAATGAGCAGCTGCACATATACAAAACAAATGAAAGAATAGAAAGTCTCACCAAAAAATAGAGAACATACAGACTATCAGAGGCCAGATTAAGGCGCTTGACCCACAGGCCTGATGACCTAGGACCAACATGGATGGAAGAAAGAACGGACTCCTGAAGGTTGTTTTCTGACCTTCATCTTTGTGCCTTGGCGAGTACATGCCCTTGCCCCAAATAAATAAATGTAATAATAATAATAATAATAATAAAAGAATATTAAGTTGAGGGCCTGGAAAGATGGTTGAGCTGTTAAGAGCACTTAATCCTGCTAACAGCCACCTGAGACTTCAGTTCTAGAGTGTCTGGCACCCTCTTGTGGCCTCTATGGGCACTGCATGGATGTGGTACACAGACAAATGCCGCAAAACTCCTGTATACATAACATAAAAATGAAGGTTAAAGAAAACCAATTACAACTTGAGGACACTTCATTTTTCCAGCACCAAATCAGCCTCTTTGTGTCGTTGGTTGTTTTTACTCTTTACTCTTTTGGCTCTTTGCTCCTTGGGATCCTGCCACACAGCTCTCAAATAAATCACACACATGGAGACTTATTCTTTCTTTTGATTGCCTGGCCTTAGCTTGGCTTGTTTCTAGTCAGCTTTTCTTAACTTAATTATCCCATCTACCTTTTGCCTCTGGGGTTTTACCTTTCTCTGTTTCTGTATCTTTTCTTTCCTTTTTATTCCACGTCTGGCTGTGTGGCTGGGTGACAGGCCCCTTCTTTTCTCGCTCCTTCCTCTTTGCTTCCCAGATTTCTCCTTCTCTTTATTCTCTCTGCCTGCCAGCCCTGCCTATCTTTTTTCTGCCCTGCTATTGGCCGTTCAGCTCTTTATTAGAACAACCAGGTGTTTTGACAAGCAAAGTAACACAGCTTCACAGAGTTAAATGAAACATAAAAGAATGCAACCCATCTTTGCATCATTAAACAAATGTTCCACAGCATAAACAAATGGAACACATCTTAAAATAATATTCCACATCTTTGGAATCCTTCCAGTTCATGAGAAACACCAATTCTCCATTGCTCTCTGTGGCACCAAGTGTTGATTGAGGATCAAGATCTGGGGCAAAGCCTCTTAGTTTATCAACAGCATCTTTTCTCCTTTGGTTTGCTATCATCAGGGTTACTGTCACATAGAGATTTCCCTTTGTATCATCCTGTCCTTTGCCAGCTTTTTGAAAATTAGGAAATGTTTCAGTGAACTCTGGACTCTCAGTTTTCTTCAGGTTCCCAAGTATGACTGACTTCTATAAATTCCTTTGCCTTCTGGAAACCCCCTGCCCTCCTATCATTACACGTAATTCAGGCCCTGTCTCTTCAGCTTCTTCTCTCTTTCTGTTCTTTTTCTTCTCCAGGCTTGGCAGTGTACTTTAATTTGGGGGCATTTTTTTTTGTTGTTTTTTTTTTTTTTTTTTTTTTTTTTTTTTTTTTTTTTTTTTTTTTTTTTTTGGTTTTTCGAGACAGAGTTTCTCTGTGTAGCTTTGCGCCTTTCCTGGAACTCACTTTGGAGACCAGGCTGGCCTCGAACTCACAGAGATCCGCCTGGCTCTGCCTCCCGAGTGCTGGGATTAAAGGCGTGCGCCACCACCGCCCGGCTTTGGGGGCGTTTTTTTTTTAAAACTGAAAACTTGAGGTGTTCACTGCTCCAGACATGGGGCCTGCATCTCTGGGCTGTGTACCTCAGCTCAGCCTCGTCCCTTCTTGGTCTTGCTCTTGTAAAGATTTGTTTTTATTTTTATGTTTGTGAGTGTTTGCCTGCATGTATGTCTGTGAGCCAGGTCTTCTTGTTTTAATTGGAGTTTTTCTCTACTTGGGCAGGTCTTTGAGATTGTTTTTTATCTGTAAATTAAAGAATGGTAAGATAAAGACTAGGCTACTTAATACAAAGAATTCCTTTTCTCACTTGATCTTACTAGCTTTATACCCCAAATATGAAACAACCGAAAGTGTGAAGATTAGAAGAAACCTATACTACATTTATTTTATATTATCCTTATAAAAGAATTTGCAGCCGGGCGGTGGTGGCGCACGCCTTTAATCCCAGCACTCGGGAGGCAGAGCCAGGCGGATCTCTGTGAGTTCGAGGCCAGCCTGGTCTCCAAAGCGAGTTCCAGGAAAGGCGCAAAGCTACACAGAGAAACCCTGTCTTGAAAAACCAAAAAAAAAAAAAAAAAAAAAAAAAGAATTTGCAAACCTATTT